CATTTAGGTTAACTAGGTATTCCTGTACTTCCTCTTTATCTATTTTGTACTGCATTTCCCCTATTGTATCCTCTACTCCCCATTTTCCTCAGGTTGAACTCCCTTTTCCTTTTGTGAGAAGACCGAGGCAAGAAGGCGTTGAGTAGTTCTGCCTTTTCTCTGTCCCCTGTTAGAATTTCTCCATCTTCTCTGTGCAGTGGCCCTACCATTTCCTCCTCCTTTCTTTTGCTATGAACATACCCCCAAAAGTCCTTTTTATTGTCCTTAAATCCTCTAGCAAGCCTGAGCTCATTATGTGCTTTGGCTTTCCTGACTTTACCCCTACATGTGCTAGCTATTTGTTTGAATTATTCTTTAGTGATTTCACCCCTTTTCCATTTCTTATACATCTCCCATCTAAAACTTAGTTCAGTTGGAAGTTCTTTTGTCATTCAACTTGGTTTCTTGAGATACCTCCCATTTTTCCTTCTCATTGGAACAGTTTGAGATTGTGCCTTCAGTATCTCCCTTTTGAGAAACTCCCATCCATCCTGAACTCCCTTCCTGACCATGGGATCACTCCCAGTGTTTCCCTAAGTTTATTGAAATCAGCTTCCCTAAAGTCTAGAATGAGTGTCTGACTGTGCCTAGCTTCTCCTTTCCAATGTATAAAAAACTCCAGGAGAACATGATCACTCCCACCTAAGGATCCCACCACTTGCACCCCTGTTAGTTAGGATCAGATCTAAAATAGCTTATCGTCTTGTTGCCACCTTTTGGACAATGAAATTGTCTTTGAGGTAAGTGAGGAATTTGCTAGACCTTGAAGTATTGGCTGAGTTTAACTTCCAGCAAATATCAGGATAGTTGAAGTCACACATCACTAATACATCTCTCCTTTCTGAGTGTGTGGTAATCTATTCTAGGAAGGCATCATCTAATTCCTCCATCTGACCAGGGGTCTGTAGTAGACTCCTACAATAACATTCCTGTTGTTTCCTTCCCTTTTAATTTTTATCCAGATGCTCTCCACCTGATTTCCATGACTGAATGTTGGGAATCTTTGTCACTAGTTACTTTACAACTCTTGCAAAAGTGAGGTTAACTATTTTCACTATATAAAAACATATAGAAAAAGGGATGTGATCTTCAGTCCAGACTGGAAATCTAGCATGGCATGTTAACTAAGAAGCTGGTCCCACTCTTACTTCTGTGTGTCCAGAGGATTGTACTTTGTTGTGTAAACAAGCATTATTAATTTGCGGTCTTTTAGATGTAATTGAATTACAATGCCCATAATCTCTAAACAATGGATCAGTTCTCTGGCTGGAGCTCATTTATTTTGACCAGGGGTAGGCAACCTTTTTGAGCCGGGGGCCGGCTTGCTGTCCCTCAGACAATGGGAGGGGGGGCGAAGCACCAAAAATAAATAAATAAATAAATAAATAATAAAACAATTAAAAATATGCATGCACACTCTCTCAGCCCCAGAAAAGCTATGGCAAAACCCCTGTGGAGATTTTGCCAAGAAAACCCTAAGAACAAGTAATAAGAACAATAATATCATCATGGTTTTGACTGATGAATATATAGAGGGCCATAATCTGCCTTTCCCTTCTGTCGACCATGTACAATACAATAAAACGCTGCTCATGATTCCTAGTGGCCCAGAAAGGCAGACGGATGTGTGTCCTGCTTGTCAAATGTTATTGGATACTTTTCAATTTGTACAGCCTGAGAATGTGGACAGGATCCTTGGAGAGGTGAGAGTCATCTTTTAGCATGACCTTCTGGCTTTGGCTTTCTAGGAAGGAATGGAAAACAATGTGTGCTAGACCCTTGCTTTCCATGGCTCATCCAACAGGCCAGAGGGGGACTGGCTGAGTAGGGAAGTAGTCAATACCTCCTTACAACAAGGCAAAGTTTCACCTTGCTGAAAGGAAGCAGTTGTTAGATCTTTGTGGAAAAATCTGTTCCTGTATCCCTCTGTAATATATAATTATTGGCCAATGTCTAATAAAGCTGTCAAGACGGCTCTCTTCCGGCATGCCTTTCCTGAATAACTATCCCGGCCCAAAGATTTGGCTAACTTCCCCTTCTGTGCTGCTGCTGATTATGCTGATTATGCTATGTTGTTGCGAGATGGTATGTTTGTTTTATACCTTAATTTTATTCCATGTTTTAATTGTTCTAGTTTAATATTTTTTTAGGGGTGGGTGGGTTTGGGTGTTGATGCACCTATTGGTGTTTTTATTGTTGATGTACCTATTGGCGCTGCAGAGGGGCGGGATAGAAATAAATTTTATTATTATTATATTATTTTGGGGCAAGGTGTTGCAGCGTGTGGTGACCTACCCGGTGCAAGGGTTCCCATATGAACTGGATTAGCTAGGTCCACTTCAATCTGGTTTTAGGCCTGGTTATGGAACAGAGACCTAAGTAAAGAACTAGACAGGCTAAGTGTCTCCCTGGTGGTTCTACTGGACCTCCCAATGGCTTTTGAAACCATGGTTTTATTGACATTCTGTGCCACCTCAGTAGGATGGGACATGGAGGCACTGTTTTCCATTCCTTCCTAGAAAGTCAAAGCCAGAAGGTCATGCTAAAAGATGCCAATTGAACCCTCTGACCATTGGCCTCTGATGATCCCTCAGGGTTCTGTTTTGTCCCCTAAGCTATTTAATATATATATATGAAACTGCTGGAAGGGGTTTTTGGGTGCAGTGCCATCAATATGCAGGTATCATCCAGCTCTACTATTCCTTTCTACCTCAATCCCTGGAAGCTACCTTGGTTCTAACCGAGTTTCAGTCATCAGTAAAGATAAGGTAAACAAACTGAAACTTAATCTAGATAAGACAGAGGTGCTCCTTGTCAGTGAAAAACAGAACAAAACACATATCAGAGAGGAAGGATTCAGCCTGTGTTAGTTGGGGTTACACTCCCACTAAAGATGCAGGCTCACAGTTTGGGTGTACTCCTGGAGTCAACGTTGAACCTGGAGGCCCAGGTTTCTGCAGTGGCCAGGAGTGCTTTTGCACATTAAAAGCCTGTGTGCCAACTGCACCTCTCCCTTCAGATGTGAGATTTGGCCATGGCGGTACATGCCTTGGTTATATCTCATTTGAAATAACATAATGCACTCTACATGGGGATGCCTTTGAGGAGTGTTTGGAAACTTCATGGGGATGCCTTTGAGGAATGTTTGGAAACTTCAACTGGTCCAAAGAGCGGAAGCTGTAATAATAACTGTAATATAGTGTTAACTGGGCATGTAATAGGGACTATAATTCCTGATTTATTTATTTTTGCTATGTTGTTCTTTTTTAAATTATAAGCTGCCTTGAATCCCAGTTTTGGGAGAAAGCAGGAAACAAACAAATGAACAAAGAATCTACTTGATAGAGTAATGTGAATGTGCACATTCACCCTGTAGTTGTTCCTCGCCAGTACTGGTTTTCTCCTCCTTTGGGACAAGTTTGGAAGCAGTACATTCTGAATAATCCCCAGTGTGAATGGAAGCCTCCTGTGGGCTGTAGCAGCTATCAGTTCTGACACTGGTTATAAGCACAGCATTCCAGTACTACTATCAGTACTGTTACAACTCCCATTTG